GGTAGAGTTACAGTCAGTGAGAGAGAGACAGAAAGGTCTTCCTTCCATTGGTTCACTCACCAAATGGCCGCAATGGCCAGAGCTGTGCTGATCTGAAGCCAGGAGCCAGGTGCTTCTTCCTGGTCTCCCATGCGGGTGCAGGGGCCCAAGGACTTGGGTCATCTTCCACTGCTTTCCCAGGCCACAGCAGAGAGATAGATTGGCAGAGAAGCAGCCAGGACTAGAACCGATACCCATTTGGGATGCCAGCGCTGGAGGCAGAGGATTAACCTAGTGTGCCACAGCACCAGCCCCTATTAATACTTCTTTATAATGACTTCTTATATGGTATAATTTTTTCTGACAATAGTTTTCTTTTCTTAAAAGATTTATTTATTTATTTGAAAGGTAGAGTTAAAGATAGGCAGAGGTAGAGAGAGAGGTCTTCCATCCATTGGTTCACTCCCCAGGTGGTTGCAACTGGAGCTGCGCAGATCCACAGCCAGGAGCCAGGAGCTTCCTCCAGGTCACCCATGTGGGTGCAGGGGCCCAAGGACTTGGACCATCTTCCACTGCTTTCCCAGGCTACATAAGAGAGCTGGATCAGAAGTGGAGAAGCCAGGATTCAAACTAGCACCCATATGAGATGCTGGCACTGCAGACGGCAGCTTTACCTGCTACTCCACAGCGCCGACCCCACTGGCAGTAGTTTTTTATGAAAAATCATTTAAATTCTTTTGAAAACTATGGAGGTGAATTGATAAAGTAGTTGTTGTTGGATTAGTTATGTTTGCTCAAACTATAAAACCTTGGGAAAATAGCTCATAAAAATCTAGACGATTTCCTCAATGAAGTTAGGTTTCAAGTGCCCAAATTCGGTCTCTTAAAGAGACTGAAATAAAAAATAATACCATTTCTGTGAGCAAGGTTTACATATTAAGGTTGAGGCCTCTCATTTTTGTAATCATATTCAAGTATACCTTAAGTGTGTATCAAGGTATTAATGATTGAACATACATATATTTTAAGTTAGAACAAAGGGCTTAAGTTGTATATTTATCCTTTGTAATGATTTCTGCTTTATCTGAACTTTTGAAATAACTGAATCAATCTAATTGATTCTGACTAATTCTTATATACCTCAGACTCTTGAGTAGGTGTTTCATCTGCCTTTTACAAAGAATTTGCAAACATTTTACTTGAATAATTTGCACAATAATCATTTAAGTTATGTTTTAGGTAATAGTACTAATTAAAATCCATAAATTCAGTTAATATATGTTTATTTACTAAGCACATAAAAGCCCTTTGTAGACTGAGATACTGAGCCAGAAGTTAAACAGAGAACAGATAATTATTTGGTGACTTTTGCTCACTTACTAGCAACTTCCATAAATTATACAGATTGTTTATCTGTATATAAACATCACCAGATATTTGTGTTTGCTTCTGTTTGTTTTGTATTCCATAAACCAGGGATGGAAGTCAAGATCTTTTTATTAAACATTTATAGCATGTCTGCTATGAACAGACTCATCAAGGCAAATAAAATTCATTCTTGTTTGTCAAAGAGAATTCAGAAAGCCACTTTAATAAACAGTCACAGCAGAATTAAAAGGTATTTTTGTAATTTTTTCCTATGTGTGACAGTTTGCAGATTTTAAAATAAGACTTTTGTGTGATTAAATGTCAATTATATTTTTGAAATTAGTGAACTCTGTTATCTTAGCTTTTGTATTACGTAAATCTCAAGAGCTCAGAGGAAGCAGGAGGATTCCTTGACATTTATCAAACATTAACAAATTAGTAGAATACAATTGATATGAAATATATTCATATGGTTCTCATGTTACACTGTTGTACCTATTCTGCTCCTAGTAACTTTACTCTTGGAATGCCTTCATGCTTGGTCTCCCATAGTATCAAAGCTTCTACACAGTAGTTAATTTTTATAGATAGACTCTCTATTCTTGGAATGGGATTTGTTCATTCTGGCTTACCATATCAGAAGTCCAAATATTTTTTCCTATGCAAACATACCATAGGCATTAGGTCCTGGTGTGTGGGATCTTCAGCCTGTCACAGATTTCATTATGCCATCTGCTTCAACCTGAGCGGTGTATCTTCTGCTGGCAGACTTTACTGGAGTTGCCATGGCTCAGGATAAAAAAAAAATCAGTCTTGGCACCAGAAGCTTGCTTTTGAAAAAATAATAATTGATCATGCCTGCTGTAGATTTAAAAATAAGCACTTGAAAGGATTCCCAAAAGCCTCTTCTCAACACATTGATCTCTTTTTAATCTATGATTGTAGATAGCTAGTATAATCGTGGAATTTTTGGTAATTATGGCAACTTAAAGAGTTTTTTGTTTTATTTTTAAGAACAGGTAACAAACTCATTTAAGGATTGGTGATATACTGTGAAATATCTATCTGTGGATGCTTTTTTTTACATAGTGTCATATTTTCATAAATGTCTCTGTATGCTTTGTGTGTACTACAAAGATAATAGGAGCAATGTGATGGAAAAAAAGTCCAGGGCACAAATTACTTATTAGGTGTGTGAGTTTGTGTAATTGTATCATCTATCTGTAAAATGAAGACAATTGTATTTGGAGGGTTGCTGGAGGAAACTGGGTTAGAGTAGGTGCTTAAAGGGTGAATAAACATTTGTTTTGCATATATTAGATGGGAAAGAGTGAGAGAGTGAGAGGGAGAGAGGGAGAGAGAAGGAGAGCTAGCTCTCATTGCTGGTTCATTCCCCAAATGCCTACAGTGCCTGGGCCTGTGCTGATGCTTAAGATGGGAGCCAGGGACCCAATTGCTTGAGCAATACCTGTTTCCTCCCGGAGTCTACTTCAGAAAGAAGCTGAAATCAGGAGCTGGGGATCAAACCCAGGTACTCTGGTGTAGATACCTGAGTATCTTAACTGTTGGGCTAATCATCCACTCTTTGCAAATGTATACTAAACCCTAACTCTGCTGAGGACATAGAAAATGCAATAGTCATTCTGCTGCTAAAGAATTTCACATTCTGGTTTTTCTCCACCAACTGGCATGGAACTCCAAGACAACAGTGTGTTGTCAGGTGGTGCTTACTGCCTTGAAGGCAGGTAGTTCAGGGTAAACTCAAGGAGCATAATGACTAATGCTGTCTCGGGTAAGGTTGTCCATATAGGCCTTTTGTGAGGTGCAGTTAGGTGTATTGGAATGGAGAAAAGAAGTAACCATGTAGGTATTTGGGGCAGACTAGTGGAGTGACTTGGCAGTGGGGAGGTCAGCGTGGCTGGAGCTTGCTGGGTGAGAGGCAGTGCTAGGAGAGAAGGTCAGAAAGTGAGCCAGCTGTGGTTAAAGCAATCTTTCTGATCTATAGTCCTGTCTAAAAAGTCACATTTGTGGTACCCTAGAGAAGTACAAAATCAACACCGACTGTACTGCTTTATTAATTATAGAACTTTAAATTGGAGCTCATTGCAACAGGAACACACAAGTAATTAGGATTTTTTTTCCCCCCAAATGGTATGATCTTTTGTTGTTGTCACTTATATCTCTGTATCTAGAGTTAGGGTATGGGACTGCAGACAGCTAACCGACCCCTCTCAACACTTTTGACACCACTTGGAAAGAGTTAAGGTCCAGCTGCAAAGTTAAAGGGAAAAGGATGGGCAACACCACCCTTGCTTCTGATACCAACTGCAAGTTTGGGAGGTTCCTGAAACTACCCTCAGTTTTGATAACTTATTAGAAGGTCTCACAGAATTCTCTGAAATATATTACTCATGTTTATGATCTATTATCAGAAGAGGACTCAATTTAAAAGTCAGTTGAAGGGGGCCAGTGCTGTGGCGCAGTGGGTTAATGCCCTGACCTGAAGCGCCGGCATCCCATATGGGCGCCGGTTCGAGACCCGGCTGCTCCACTTCTGATCCAGCTCTCTGCTATGGTCTGGGAAAGCAGTACAAGATGGCCCAAGTCCTTGGCCCCCTGCACTGCGTGGGAGACCTGGAAGAAGCTCTTGGCTTCAGGTCTGCACAGCTCTGCTCATTGTGGCCATCTGGGGAGTGAACCAGTGGATGTCAGATCTCTCTCTCTCTCCTCTCTCTGTGTAACTCTGACTTTCAAATAAATAAATAAATCTTTTTTTAAAAAAAAAAAAGTCGAAGAAAAGAGATTCATGGTATGGAGTATGTGAGTGTTCCCAATGTGCAGCTCTTGTTTTCCTGGAGAAATGTTGTGCTTCCAGTATATGTGTGTGATAATGTATATGGAGTGTTGCAAAGCCAGGAAGCTCACCTGAGCTTGATGTCCAGAGTTTTTTCTTTTGATTAAATTAGGGTGTTATTAAATGGCTATGATTGGCTGATTGCTCATATGATTGAACTTAGATTCAGAAATTGGGCTTCCGTCATGATGTCTTGTGGCTCATCATGAGAAGCAATGATACTCTCCCTGATTTGGGAAATTTCAAGGTTTAGAAGTTAGTTTTTAATAGTTGGTGATAAAGTCCAGCTCTCTCTCTCTGGGAGTGACAAACTTCTTTCCTTCACACATTATTATAAAAACACAAGCAATGTAGAAAGTAAATGACCCCCCTGGAATCCTGTCTGTCAGAGATAACCAGTACCTATTCTTCAAAATGTTTAAAATATATATAAATGTCTTTTTTTGGAATGTGCATTGGTTCATACTATTCATGTTGTTTGATAAATAGCTTTTTTGCTTAGGACTGTGATACATATTTTTATGTCTGTTTTAATGAATATCCTGAAATTGAACACTGGAAATAATTCATTTTTTAAAAAATTTCACATTCATAAGTAGTGCTACATTGAACATTCCTGTATACATGTATTAGTATAGTATTCTGATTTTTTTTTCCTGAAATAAATTTCTTGAAATTGTTGGGTGAAAGGATATGGGGTACTTTGGAATTTCATCTGTACTTTATCATCCTTCTTGGAATGTTTCTATGAAATAGTTTATGGAATGTCAAAATTATTATTAATCTCTGTTATTCTTAGGTAAACATTGCAACTTGTACAACTTCAGATGTTGAATATGCTCACATTCCTCATCTTAGTCCAGCTGTAATTCCTACTCTGCAAAGTGAATCATTTTTATTATCCCCAAGTAATGGGAATCTGGAAGCACTTACAGCATCTGGTGCTCCACACATTAATGGAAAGCCAGCTTGTGATGAATTTGATCAGCTGATTAAAAATATGGCCCAGGTAAGAACACTTCTTTGTGTTAGTTGTGGTAGAATATATAGTTATCTGAGGAGTTTAATCAAGTTCTGCATAATTTGAAGAATACAGTAATGTTTATAACATCTGAGAAAATTGAATCAAAGTTGCTTTTGTGGAAGTTTGGATGCTTCAAATATTTTTAAGTACTTTTTTTTCTTATTTATTTATTTGGAAGGCAGAGTGACAGAGCAAGAGAGAGATGGAGACAGAGATAGATATGGACACAGACACAGAGAGAGATTTTTCATTCACTGGATCACTCCAAGAATACCTTCAATAGTGAAGGCTGAGACAGGACAAAACCAAGGAGCCTGGAACTCCATCTGGCTCTCCAATATAGGTGGCAGAGACCCAAGTAGTTGGGCCATGGTCTGCTGCCTTGCCAGGTGCATTAGCAGGAAGCTGGATCTGAAGCAGGGTTGCTGCAACTTGAACTAGCTCTTTGATACAGAATGCCTGTGTTAGAAGTAGTGGCTTAACCCACTGAGCTACAATGTCCTCTACTATTAAGACATTTTAACTTGAGCAATGTATGTTGTATTCCAGAACTATTCTTTAGTACAAATGAAACATCTCATTCTAGGTGATGTGTGCTAAAAATTATCTTAAAACATTTAAAAAATTTAAACAAAGTAATGCTACGAGTAAGAAGACTGTTTCTGCAGTAATTGGCTCTTGATTTTATTTCCTGTTTTGTTTCCTGACCAGGGTCGCCATGTAGAAGTTTTTGAGCTCCTCAAACCTCCGTGTGGAGGCCTTGGGTTTAGTGTTGTGGGACTAAGGAGTGAAAACAGGGGTGAGCTGGGAATATTTGTACAAGAAGTTCAGGAGGGCAGTGTGGCTCACAGGTGAGACCATTGCAGCATCTTCTGTTTTTGATACCACATTCAGAAGGTTTTGAAATAAAAAATCAATGTCAGACAGAAAAAACCTGGATGTAATCTACTACCAATGAGCTTTTAGAAATGACTACATGGTTGTGATAAATAGCAAGTCTTTTGAAATGAGCATAGCTTTTAAATATAGTCATTAACTCAATTGCATTTTAGTAAGAAAAATTTGATAACATTATTTTCATTGTTATTAAATAGGCTCTTTTGGTGAGATTTGAGAATTACTGTACTAGTAATCACTCACGATAATTTGAGCTTTGTTAATATTATCAAAGCAACAAGTGAATATTTGCATCTGCACTTTCATTTTTAGAAGAGAGCAGTATTCAATATTCAAAATGGAGGTTGAATGAGCAGCTGAAATAAAGATGGCTTTTAAATGGGGCTAGCTGATTAGGGGATAGCTATGGAATTACCTTAAGAGAGTTGATCACTTAAGTAGAACTGCATGAAAAAGCTTTAAAAAGTGTGGAAATTAGGAAACAGTATTAAAACTAGCCTGAACATAAATTTTAAAGAAGGTAATTTCCCTTGAGATCTGTCAAATATCTTTTGCTCCCTTTTGCATCTTTGATAGAGATGGAAGATTGAAGGAGACAGATCAGATCCTTGCTATCAATGGGCAGGCACTTGACCAGACAATTACTCATCAGCAGGCTATCAGCATCCTCCAGAAAGCCAAAGATACTGTCCAGCTGGTTATTGCCAGAGGCTCCTTGCCTCCACTTATCAGCCCCATAGTTTCCCGTTCTCCATCTGCAGCCAGTACAATTTCAGCTCACTCTAATCCGGTGAGTATCTAAGACTTTCAGAAGGAACCTAACCTGTTTTCTAGTTCTTTCTGGTTGTCCACACTTTCTAATTCCTGTAGATTCTTTGTACTTCTTAAGTGTTTGCTTTTTTATTCTTTTTTCTCCCTCTAGCCTGGAGTATTTGTGATTTCAATATGATTCAAAAACAGCTTTCAAATACAAGCTTTACTTTTCTTTGTGTCATTTTTTTATTTGATGGCATTCCTCCCAAAAAAAGAAAAAAGAAAAAAAACAAAACAAAACAGTAGTCCTTTTAAAAAAATCAGTTTTTATCTGTAGACAGATATAATTTTGATTTGTAAATTATACAATTATATTGTTACAGTTAGCTGTCAGTGACTTTAAAAAATCATGGAATTTGGAATCCTGCCCCAAGGCAGGATTATGCTGAAGACATTCATTTTGAGGGTGACAGGATTTTTTTTCCCCTTAATCTTTTTCCTTTCCTTTCCTTGTGTGTGTGTGTGTGTGTGTTAAAGAAGTTCTTTAAGAACCTTGCAGATCAGTGTCATCTTCAGCTGGTGAAATGCAATCATTATAGTGATGTATTGACAGTTTTAAAAAGGCTTTTATCAATAGCAGTAACAGTCTATTGAAAGGGAAGTATATTAAACAAAAGGGCCATTGTTAGGGCTCATTGTTATGTCTGAATTCAGTTATTTGATGTTAATGAAATACTGGTCACAAAAATATCCTCTCTAATATAAAATTTTAGTGTTTTATAAATTCACATAGGAGCTTTGCTTTTAGGTTCACTGGCAGCATGTGGAAACTATTGAACTGGTGAATGACGGATCTGGTCTGGGATTTGGCATCATAGGAGGAAAAGCAACTGGTGTGATAGTAAAAACCATTTTGCCTGGAGGAGTAGCTGATCAGGTAAGCTGCTTCATAGGTCTTCTGTGGCATTTTACGAAACAGTGCAGCTGCATCTCTATAGTCTGCTCTGTAGAGAGCAAACTTTGTCCTTAGGTAATGTCAGAGAAACTGAATCTTCTGTTTTATCGTGTTCACCATGAAATACCCTCTTAGAACTGGGAGATAAAGCTTCAGAAAGGGACATTTATCTTAAGATACAATTATAGAGAATGAACTTAAAACTTTAGCACAACAGACCAAAGGCAGGGTTGTTTTTTTTGGCCATTGCCAAGGTAGCTTCTCTTTGTATTGTGTAAGTCGTATTTATAAACTTAGTCAGCTGTTTTATAGTCACATGATTTTATGGAAAAAGAATGCTGCATTATTGAGAGGAAAAAAATAAGATTTAACTTGCCCCCTTAGTAAAGGGTCCTTGATATCATCTTTGCATATGAGCAGAGCCTATTTTTATCATGACAGTGGTTTACTGAAGCATTGGCTTTTTAAAATATTTATTTATTTGAAAGGCAGAATTACAGAGAGGCAGAGTCAGAGAGAGAGAAAGAGAGGTCTTTCATATGCTGGTTCACTCCCAAATGGCCACAATAGCTGGAGCTGCGTGGATCTAAAGCCAGGAGCCAGGAGCTTCTTCCAGGTCTTCCCACATGGCTGCAGGGGCCTAAGGATTTGGGCTATCTTCTACTGCTTTTCCAGGCCACAGCAGAGAGCTGGATTGGAAGTGGAGCAGCTAGGACTCGAACCAGCATCCATATTGGATGTTGGCGCTGCAGGTGGTTGCTTTAACCTGCTGCACCATAGCTTCGGCCCCAGCTATGATTTATCTTTTAACTTGACATATTTTGCTAGTTTAAATAACTCTTGCCTTAATTGTAATATATATAAATCTGTATTTTTACACGTGTATTTGAAGTTAAGTCAGGACATCAGGTTTCTGAGAAATTTCTTTTGGAAATTTTATCAGTAGAGGTGTTAACAGTAGCACAGTAATGTGAAAATTTTTGCTTGAAAACTTTGTCTTTGCTTTAGACAGTAGCCAGCAGCTCACAATGTCAAATGAAATTTCCCCAGCTCATATTTGCAATTATATATACACTTTATCTTTAACATAGAGCTTCACTTTCCCATAATGTACCTACTTGTCACATGTCACTTTTAAAATTCAAGTTAATTAAAATTAGGTGGAATGACAGTTCTGTCTCTCAGTTGGACTAGCCACATTTCACGTGCTCCGTAGCTGCTTGTCTCTAGTCGCTGCAGTATGGGGCAGTGGAGAATGGTTCCATCACTGCAGAAAGTTTTACTGAATGACACTTGTGTGGAGGCTGATAAGGCCCATGTTTTCTCCCCTTATCTGCTTGAAATTTTAGCTTCTCAAGGATTTCATCTGTCTGGGAACACTTATAATTGAAATGACCAGACAGAAAATTGCAGCATTAATACAATATTTCCTGGTGGTTTATATCATGTTTCTTAAATTTTTTATTAAAGGTTTATTTGTATTTTATTTATTTGTAAGGAGAAGAAGCACAGAGAGGGAAACAGAGACAGATAGAGGTTTTCTGTCTGCTGGTTTATTCCTTAAATGCTCGCCATAGCTAGGGCTGGTGTAAGCAGAAGCCAGGATTCTGGATTTCATTCCCAACTTCCACATGGATGGCAGCAATCTAAGTACTGGAGCCCCATCAGGTGCTGAATCCTACGGTGTTCATCAGCACAAAGCTGGACTTAGAAGCAGAGCCTGGACTTGAACCCTAGCACTCTGACATGGGATGCAGTGACCCCAAGTGGTGTCTTAACCATTGAGCCAAATGTCTGACCCCATAGCATGCCAGGGTTTATTATTCCCTTCCCCCTCATTTAGGATTCTTTGATGCAGTTACAATAACAGTGTCCCAATTCTTCACCGTTTTTATTCAGCATGGGCGATTATGCAGTGGAGACCACATTCTAAAGATTGGTGACACAGACCTGGCAGGAATGAGCAGTGAGCAGGTAGCACAAGTCCTCAGGCAATGTGGAAACAGAGTTAAGTTGATGATTGCAAGAGGTGCTGTGGAAGAATCTGCTGCACCCTCCTCTTTGGGCATTACCTTCTCCTCCTCCCCTTCTTCTACACCAGAGATGCGGGTGAGTAGGTAAAACAGTTCATGTGAAGCTCTGAGACATAGCAGTTAGATGACAGAGTTGTTGATTTAGAAACCGGAATTCCTTTCTGTTGTTCATATATAGTGCAAAAGAACAGAATCAAATTCTAATATTGAGATGCTTCAGCACTAGTAATATTTTATTAATCAGACATCATGTATAAATAGATGAAAATGGACTGAAGTGCACATTGTTATTTCATATTGTTTTTTAATCCATCTATTTCTTAAAAGGCAGAGTTTTATATATACATACACATACATATATATACACACATACACACATGAACATATATATATGTATATATGTACACAGAGAGAGAGAAAGAGAGAGAGAGATTGTTCTTCTAAACGCTGATTCACTCCCCTAAAGAGCTGCAACTGCTGGGGCCGGGCCAGGCTGAAGCCATGAACCCAAGTTCTTGTGTCATCTTCCTATGCTTTCTCAGGCACATTAGCATGGAGCTGGAGTAATGTGGCACAGCTGGGAATCCAACTGGCGCTCAGGGATGGGGCGCTGGGATCACAGGTGACAACTAAACTCACTGAACCACAATGCTGGTCCTCACATTTTTGTTTCTAAGCAGCACATTTGTGAGAATAATCTTTTGAAGCATGGCAAAATTAGCAACTCATACCCAAAATGTTTAATTCTTTCTCTTAATTAGAAGGCTTTCGTTAAGGGAGGTCACAGTTCTAATCATTCCCTTTCAACCACCTTTTCAGTCTACTCGTTTTTGTTTTGGATGTTTGAGAAATAGAGGTAGGCTTTATGGGAGTGAATAAGGCTTATTAAAATATTTTATTATTATTGTCTTAAGGTATGTCTTAGAACTGTTACCAGATTCTAATGACTAGTCATTGTTCTCCTCGTTATATAATTTTTTAAACAAAAGTTAGGCTTTGGGTCTTATAGCAAAAGCTTGGCTCGTAGATAAAACATTCCATCTTTGTTCTTGATATGAAAAGAGAATGAAAATTTTGAAATTATTGGCAGGTAGTAGTTTTCTCAGCTAATTTATTGGCCACAGACTACAGTGAATGAAAATATCTACAAAATAGTTTTATCTAGAAATCTCTTAAAGATTTAATAATGGAATTGCCCCCAATTTCTGGATGAGCTTTATATCCAGTGCAAGTCCTGTATTCTCTTCCTAGCTGAAAATGCATTTGTGTTTTATTCTATTAAAGTTTTTCTAAACATTGGCTACAAATTCTTTTTTTAAATATCTTAACCTTCTCCACAAGCCCTTTGAAACTTTATTAGAACACTTGAAATTTCCATGATTCTGTTGATTTTAGGATTGAGTTTGGTTGCTATTTTTGATAAAGAATTAAAGAAAGCTTGTTTATGGAAGTATTTAAATGACATTCTTTTGTGGTAAACAAAACATTTTATTCAGCAACATATAAATGAATGCAATACAGAAAACTACTTGATGTAATTGAAAGCTTAGAAAAATATCTATTCTGTGCATATCATCATTTCTGAAGCTTGTGCCCCTTTTAAAACCATTCGATAGTCAAATTGCCACCCTCTAAAATAGCACTCGCATAAGTCTTATTAAAAATAGAAAACACATTTGTTTCAATTGAAGCAGATTTCATCCTGTCATTTTCTTGTAATTATCTAAACTTTAAACTTTTGCTAAGTTTGCACAGATAATTATGTGCAATGAAAAATCAAACTTTACTGTAAAATTATATCTCATTTAGGTGAACTGTCAATGAGATACAAAGTTTGTTTAAAGGAAAGCAGAAAACATTACTAGTTAGCCCCAAGCTGCATGTCCATTAGAACCTATAATCTTGATTTTATTTATCTTAGGATTCCGTGTAGAATCTGTAACATCACACTAATATGTATTACCAATAGCTTATTGATGAATATTGTACCAGCCCACCAGTGCCCTGCAGTCTAACATGCAATTAATAATAACTCCACATGTTAGAGAAGCTGACATCTGAGAAACCAGCTTTCAGCTGTCATTCCAGGCATGACTGATGCTCATGTGGAAAGGCACACTTTCTTGTAAATAGTTTTTCATACTAAAGTTTGAATTTATAAAACAAATAAGAGGACAATTTATTTTTAAAGATTTATTTGTTTATTTGAAAGGCAGAGTTTAGATAGGCAGAGGCAAAGAGAGAGAGAGGTCGGTCTTCCATCCACTGGTTCACTCCCAAAATGGCCACAACAGCTGGAGCTGAGCAGTTCTGAAGTCAAAAGCCAGGAGCTTCTCTAGGTCTCCCACATGGATCCAGAGGCCCAAGCACTTGGACCATGTTCTGTTGCTTTCCCAGTCTATAGCAGAGAGCTGGATTGGAAGTAGAGCAGCCAGGACTCAAACTGGCACCCATTTGGGATGCCGGTACTGCACAAGGCGGCTTTACCTGCTATGCCACAGCACTGGCCCCTAAAAAAAAAAAAAAAAAAAAAAAAATTTAAAATACTGCTTTGGAGAATTTCAGTGGTTGTCAGAATAACTCATCATTTTGTTAATATCGTCTCTGCAGGATAGATTATTAACCCATATTCACGGTGTTACCCATCAATTCTAAATTTAAGATAATAATATCAGCTAATGTGATAGCATTACAACCTCTGTATTCTACTAGAGATTTTACACACTGTTTATCATTTAAGAGCAGGGACTCCACAACCAGACTATCTGGATTTAAATTCTGCTTCTACAGATTGCTTTTTGCTTCCAGGTTGCCCTTAAAAAGATTATTATTCCACAGTTTCCCCACTGAAAAATGTACAAACTAATTGTACTTACCTTGGTGGATTATGATAAGGGCTAATGAACTAAGAGATGCCAAGTGCCTATTCAGTAAAAACTGCTCAGTAAATGGTAGCTGAACTGGTAGATGTTTGTCTTTTCCTGAGAGAAAGTGATATTTAGAGAGATTAGCTAGCAAAGCTAGATTTGAATTTACTGGTTTGAATTAAAATAATTTGCTTTTTCAACTGTGCTACATCCTAATTCCCCTGGAAACAAAAATTAACCATCTCTGAAAATAGAATTGCCAATTAAAAAAACTTCGCTTTCTAAAATTTTGTATAAACAAACAGTAATGTATCTCTCTGATATGGAGAGTTGGGCCTTATTCCTGACACTTGTTTCTGAGTTAAAATGTGATTCTCAGTCCATGGTGTCTTGATTGAAAGAGTGATCTCTACTATTAACTCTTTAGCGGTGCTCTGTGATACATTAAACCACATGATTCATAAATTAAGGCTGTAGATATTTTTTAACTTCCTACACATCTAATTCTCTGTATATTAATTGGTTTGATTTAGGTTGATGCCTCTACTCAGAAAAGTGAAGAAAATGAGACATTTGATGTAGAACTCACGAAAAATGTCCAGGGATTAGGAATTACCATTGCTGGTTACATTGGAGATAAAAAATTAGGTAATTTTAAAATTAAATACTTCTTTAATTTTGGCGATTGCCTCTAGTATCTATGTCTTATGAAATACTACATTAATATTTTTTTTCAGATAGAGTATAGTGGTTGAAAAATTTCTTAGGAATAATTTAGGTGACATATTTAAGACATAAAACAGTTGTCCTATCCTGTAGCCTATGTTTCTGCTAGAGAGTTTGTGCGGCTTGTTGAAATATATTTCTCCAAAACAAGAGCTTCATTTGAGAGTAAAGGATGGCTATTCTTTGCTTGTGCTGTGCAAAATAAGTGAAAAATAACCTCTTTTTAACCTTAGAACCTTCAGGAATCTTTGTAAAGAGCATTACCAAAAGCAGTGCTGTTGAACATGATGGAAGAATCCAAATTGGAGATCAAATTATAGCAGTAAGTTTCTCATTTACTAATAACTGTGTTAATTTTCACCTTTGCATTTTATATTCTCCCAATTTACTTAGTTTTGAGAATAAAAATAACCCTGTGCTGATTTAAGCTTGCTTTGGTAATGTGAAGGGAAGCTGTCACAATTACTCTGTTTACTATATTGTGGCAATAAAATAGAGCTTTGGATAGAAACTTTACAGACCTCAATTCTAAAGGGAGTCCTCTTAATAATTTCTAATATATCCAGTATCTGGGTGTAATGAATTTGCTACATTGATATTACATTTGTACTGTACTTACACAAACTGCAAAGGTAAAGAGTAGCTGCCATGACAGTTAAGGTACTCAAATCTGAATTGGGATGTGTGCATGTTCTTTTAATCAGTAGAATATTATTGGTTTCATGACGGCAGCTTCTTTTAGCTCTAAGAATAAATAAAAATGAGAGAAAGATCCATTTAGTCTTCAAAAAAATCAAGCTGTTATTGTTATCTTGGTAATACCAGTTTCTTAAAGCATTTGGTTACTTCAGGCTGTATACAGTAGAATGCATCCTTCAGTTCAGCATTGAGTGTTCAATGAATACTAGGCTTCCCAAACTACTCCCCGAAACACAAATGTAAGAGACCATTTACCATTTACCTGGTCAGATAAATTTTGGAAAAGCTGGATATAAGAAAATATATTTAAAGTTCATAGAAAAAGGAATTGAGAGAGAAGTTTATTTTGTTGCAGAATTTTCAGAATCTATGCATATGAAGAACCTTCAAAAATTCATGAAAAATGCATATTATGAAAAAAAGCTATGGATGAATACCAAAAAGTTTTTGCACCAAAACCTTTTATTCCACTTTACATTTATTTTTTAAGTACCCTTGCATACAGTTTTCTTGGAATTCATATTGCACATTAAAAAATTAAAGATTCTGAGAAGTCCTGCAGTAGAGAAACCCATTTACCCCTGTTCATTATTTGCTAAACTTTGTGACTGTGGGATCTTCCTTTTCCCAAACCACAGTCTTTGAAGGACACCTTGGGGGATGTTGACTGATTTCAATATATATACTTGCTTAAGCTTAATTAACTCTCTTGTGTTTGCTCAGGCTCTTAATAATAGTACGAAAGCATGATATTAAGGTAAATGAGTCCTTGTTCATTGCTATTGTTCACAATACCCAAGACCTGGAAGCAGCTCAACTGTCTATTGATGGCTGAGTGGACAAAGAAAACGTGGTATAAAAGAGTACTACAAAAAGTTCACAGAAAATGAAATTAAAAATTAGGGTGGGTGCTTGCCCTAGACAGGAGGACACTGGTTGACATACCCACATCCTATGCTGGAATGCCTCAGTTTGATCCCCAGCTCTAGCTCTTGCCTCCAGATTCCTGCTGGTATAGCCTCTCAGTTGCAGTGGTCATGGCTCAAATGTTCAGGTACCTACCCCTCACATGAGAGAGATGAATTGTGTTCCTTCATGCTGATTTTGGTCTGGTCCAACTGCAGTCATTGTGGGCATTTGAGGAGTGAACCAGTGGGTGGGAGCTCTCTTTTTCTGTTTCTCTGCCTCTCAAATAAATAAATATATACATAAATAATTTTTTTATTTGACAGATAGAGTTGTAGACAGTGAGAGAGAGAGAGATTCAGAGCGAAAGGTCTTCCTTCTGTTGGTTCACTCCCCTAATGGCCACTACAGCCAGCGCTGCACCAATCCGAAGCCAGGGGCCAGGTACTTCCTCCCGGTCTCCCATGTGGGTGCAGGGACCCAAGCACTTGGGACATCCTCCACTGCCCTCCCGGGCCACAGCAGAGAAATGGACTGGAAGAGGAGCAACCGGTGCCCCAACTGGGACTAGAACCCGGGGTGCCGGCGCCACAGGCAGAGAATTAGCCAAGTGAGCCACAGCACTGGCCACATAAATAAATTTTTAAAATATTTTAGTCCAAATAGTTTAAAATCCATTCATAAAAGGGATTATAAAAAGTTTGTGAAAAATACAAATCATGAAAAACTATGCATTAATTTCAGTTTTGCATAAAAATAAATTTATAATTCCCATTTTCTGTGAACTTTTTGAAGTACCCTATGAATGTACAATGAAATGTGAATTTTTTTTAACTTTTATTTAATGAATATAAATTTCCAAAGTACGACTTATGGATTACAATGGCTTCCCCACCATACCGTCCCTCCCACCCGCAATCCTCCCCCTTCCCACTCCCTCTCCCCTTCCATTCACATCAAGATTCATTTTCAATTCTCTTTATATACAGAAGATCAGCTTAGTATACATTAAGTAAAGATTTCAACAGTTTGCTCCCACACAGAAACATAAAGTGAAAAATAATAGATGATTTTTTAAATGATGATGAAATCAGATCAGACCTATTGTCATGTTTAATCCCAGTGAGAGTCAAGTTGGGAATTGATAATTTCTTCTTTTTTTTTTTTTAACAGAAGATCAGTTTAGTATACATTAAGTAAAGATTTCAACAGTTTGCACCCCCAGAGAAACACAAAGTGAAATATACTGTTTGAGTACTCGTTATAGCATTAAATCTCAATACACAGCACATTAAGGACAGAGATCCTACATGAGGAGTAAGTGCACAGTGACTCCTGTTGTTGACTTTACCAATTGACACTCCTGTTTATGGCATCAGTAATCTCCCTATGCTCCAGTCATGAGTTTCCAAGGCTATGGAAGCCCCTTGAGTTCTCCGACTCTTATCTTGTTTAGACAAGGTCATAGTCAAAGTGGAGGTTCTCTCCTCCCTTCAGAGAAAGGTACCTCCTTCTTTGAAGACCTGTTCTTTCCACTGAGATCTCACTCACAGAGATCTTTCATTTAGGTGTTTGTGTTTTTTTTGTTGTTTTGTTTTCTTTTTTTTTTTTTTTTTTTTTGCCAGAGTGTCTTGGCTTTCCATGCCTGAAATACTCTCATGGGCTTTTCAGCCAGATCCGAATAGCTTTAGGGCTGATTCTGAGGCCAGAGTGCTGTTTAGGACATCTGCCATTCTATGAGTCTGCTGAGTATCTCGCTTCCCATGTTGGATCACTCTCCCCTTTATTTATTCTATCGGTTAGTATTAGCAGGTACTAGACTTGTTTATGCGCTCCCTTTGACTCTTAGTCCTTTCATTTTGATCAATTGTGAACTGAAATTGATCACTTGGAATAGTGAGATGGCATTGGTACATGCCACCTTGATGGGATTGAATTGGAATGAATGTACAATGAAATGTGAATTTTTAAAAAGGTGAAAATCCTGTGTCTTGATATGTTAAAATATGGATGAACCCTGAGGACTTTGTGCTAAGTGAAATATACCAATCACAAAAAGACAAATACCATACGATTCAATTTATGTGAGGTTTCTAAGATAGTCAGACTTATAGAAGCAGAAAATAGAATAATGGTTTCAAGGATTGGGTAGAGGAGGAATGGAATGCTATTATTCAGTCAGCATAGTGTTTCAGTTTTACAAGATGAAAAAGTACTGCAGATCTTGCACAGGTGTGAATATATTTAACATTACTGAATGTATCTTGAAAAATGGTTAAGATGGTAAATATTATATTGTTTTCTACCACAATTTTAAAAAAGAGAGAAGTCCTTTATCTCTGCCTTTTGAATCTACATTGTAACACCTTGCCTCTTCTTAGGTTTAGTTCTGGGGATCGTCTACCTATGCCATCTGTTCACCTCTTGAAATCTACTCTAAAGATCAAGTTGAGCTTGCAACCTAATCTGTCTGTATGCTGCTGATGTATTTTCTCAGTATATCTCCATTTTACCATCCTGTGAAAATTAACCACCGTGTTTTTTTAATCAGGGAGAAGAGAGGGAGAGAAAATGAACAGAAATAGACTGTATATCCATAACTGACTCTGGTTTGTTTTCTATTTAGTAATGTTAAGTATATTCACAGTTTTCCATTTATTACCACAATAAATTTTAGAACATTTTCATTACCTTAAAAAGATACACCCTATTTACCAGAGTCAACACCTCGTAGTCCTAGCTGTAGCAGGCATTTGGGGAGCGAACAAGCATTTGGAAGATCCTTTTCTGTCTGTCTCTGTCTTTTGCCTTTCAAATGAAAAATGAAAATAAATAAGACAAAACAATTGAAATCCAAATCATCAAGTTATTAAAGGAAAAATGCATTTTTCCTTTATGTAGTTGGATATGAATATATGAATAAAATTGCTGTTAGGTAAACAGAATCCTACACGTTTTTCCTCACTGAACCTTCATTTTTAAAGAGTTACACAATAAAATCTATTGAATATGAAACACTTGCAGCATAGAATACATTCATTAATTTTATGTTAATTTTTGCCTTTGAGGTTTAATCAATATAAAATTAGAACATAGTTTTAAAACTTCCTCATAGGTACCACTATTAATAGTTTGTGGTTTAAAATTCAGAAAATTTCTATGTATTTATGTTTAAATAGTATCATATTGTATATGTCCATACCTTTTTTACTTAAAACAGTGCTTGGGTATTATAGTCACATAGGTACATAGAGATATATTATGATTAAGTGGCCTTATTCCTGGACAGTTATGTTGTTATAGTTATTATTATAAATAGATTGTTTTATAGAACTTTATGTGTCTTCTCCTAAGGAGTAAGACTAGAAACATTTGACTCAGTTTTCTTGCTGTGGTAGTTTCTTTAGATTTGGGTTTTGCTTATTTTGCTGTTTGGTACATGATCCTGTTCGCCACAGTTTTCTTACTTTGAATTTTATGTGATTACTCTCATCAACTAGAATGTTTATTTTATAGGGAGTTAATTTTATAGGGAGAGAATGTACTGGTAGGCTTTCCAAAATTTCTCTGACAATCTCTTCTGTTGCCTTCTCACACTTCAGCACGTTGACAGTTTGCCTGGGGACGATAGATTTGTTGGACAAGGAGGACTTAGTGGATATAATATCAACAATTTTAAAAAACTCGTTTATCGACTGCCACTTTTAGTTTTTAAAT